ATATATAGAAATGCTAACGTGAGTATGGATATTGTCAACAATTTAAATAATTTAGTAGTTATTTTTTTTGTTATAAATAAAAAATTTTAAATTTGAGTCGCATATTAACAAATAAAAGATGAAAAATAGTTATTTTTTATTGTGTAAATAAAATAAAAAAGAGAAAAAAGGTGAGTATGGATGTCACTTCAAGTATTTGAATTTCCAGTTAATATTAACAATGAAGGAACTCATATTTTGGACGGAAAGACCAAACTGGTACTAGGAAAATCAAGTTTAAGGATAATTTTAGTAGGTTTGAAGTTTAAGGATCAACTTAGTCCAAAACTCAAAATTTAGGGACACAATAGTGTTTTAAGCTAACTAATTTGGTGGTGGGGAACGTAATAATGGCTGGGATAGTTTTATAATTTTATTATTTTAATGTATTAATGAGTTGATTGATAGTCCCTGATTTATGTAAGGTTAAAAAGGACCATTTGACATTTGTCGCCTAAGTTGAGGTGGCAAAAAATACACCTATTATTTTCTTTACTTGGTAGGGTGTAATATGACATTAACCCATTTCCTTAATTCTCAATTGTTCAAAAAAAAAAAAAAAAGGACCATATCATTTTCTACATCATCTATATAATTTGAAAAATAAATATTTTAATTTAAAATGTTGCCATCTCAACTCTTTAAATTTTCATATCAGCTATTATTTGGGCAGTTTCATGAACCTACACTGTAGCAATTTTCAATTGCTTCAACGTCTAAAAATCTCGAGGATGTCTTTTTGGGGAAAACACTCCGACGCTCAAGTCAACAATACTCAATATTCTAGAGAGAGAAGCTCTCAAAAGTAATTACAGAAGAGAAGCATAGTGAAGTTAATATCTTGAATGGAGGTAGGTGAGGATATTTATAGCCCAGCAGTGTTGACATGAATTCATACATGTAAGCATCTGATTGGTTCACGTATGAGCACCCACATGGGTGTGTCTGGACTGTGTCTGGGCTGTTGTATGGATGTATCTGCATTTTGGGACCCAGGTATGAATGATTGGGCCTATTATATACGGCCCAGGTTGAATGTTTGGCCTATTCCCAGCATTACTTCCCCCAACGTTTGGTTGACGAACTAAGGTAATTGTATTTGTAGCCTAGGATTCAGCCTTAAGAATGGGGTGTATGATCTTTTGATTTTGTGTACGACCTAGTTAACGACTAAGCTGAAAGATAAAATACAAGGTATACATCCAAGTGCAAGGGCTTGACTTGGACAAGCTACGATGTATCTACACCGAGCCCCAAATGAGAAAACCTTTGAGGAAAGGGTTACACCTTGACAACCTAACCATAAGACAACCTCATTTATTAGAGTGAGACTAGGGATTGGGTGTTATAGCGATCTTTCTCGTATGAACGCAGCACATTAGTGAACTCAACGAGCTTATAAAAGGTGAGCTCGCACAATGAATCTTCAAACTTCTGAGTGGAGTAGGCCTAGAAAGGGGTAAAGTCTCTTGTTAAGATGTATGTCGCATATGAAGTGTTACTTGGTGAGCTTGTCCACATTAACGTGAAGATGAATAGACATATGACGACCTCAACCATGGTAATCTCTCAAAAATTCTAGAGGAGCGAATTTCCAAGGACATATAGTTAAAAACTAACTAAAGTATGACGATCTCACCCCATGCATTTTGTAAATTTAAAACAAAGCGATATGAAGTCGTCCACGCAATTGCGAAGATGCGCTAACGCGTGACAATCTCACTACTTCAAAATCTTAAGGAGGAAATCTATTACGATTTGAACCTTGGATGAATCTCTAGAGAGATATGCACAAATCTTTGAGGAGATATGATTGGGCTCGCTTACTTAATTGTAAGAACGAGCTGACGCACAATGCTCTCATTAAAGGGAGAAATCTATAACGATATGAGCCTTGGCCATTTTCAAAATTTAAAACGGAGCAAATCTCTGAGGAGATATAATTTGTTATGATCTAAACCTTGGCCGTTGTCAAAATTTAAAACGGAGCTAATCTCTAAGGAGATATGGCTTATCCCTCTACCTTTCCTGTAATAAATGCTAGCTTAGCATTTATAGACACGTGACAGCTAAAGACGGTCAACGTTACACGCCTCACCTTAAATAGCTGCCACGTGTAGAGGTCTAATTGGTGCGCTAGAAACATTCGTACGATGATTAAGGCTGCATTTTCTGTTTCAGAAAAGAGAAAAGGAAGCATTGTATCCCATTTTCTATTTCTCCTTCATTGTGTTTTCTGTCACTTTCTGTAGCAGAGGTCTTTGAAGCTATTGACACGAAATTTTGAAACCACAGCCACAAAAGGAATTTTCTCAACAAATACTTAGGTAAAAATGGAGTTTTTAAGAGAACCCATAGAGCTCGGGGTAATTAGGATAGGGAGGAAGACGAGGGGGTTGTTTCTGCCAAACCGATTGTGATGATAATGCCACTGGAACTACAGGACTTGCCGGAAATAATAACACCTGAGAGTAGCACCAATGCAAGCGCACCTAGTGACTTCAGTAGCCATCACTCTTCTCCGTTTAAAGACTCATCTTTAGTAAGGACATCTAGCGACGGAGAAGGGGTAAGGGAAGGTGATGTAGGGGCAGATGTGCCTGTGCTTGCTGAATGGGAGGGTAAAACCATCAGTAGGAGGCTAAGTAACATCTGCCGGGTGCCACAGAACTTGTCCGTTGGTTTTAAGTTCAGGGCGGCACTTCATCACGAAGTGGTAGACGGTGCAACCACCATCAAGGGGTATAAAACGTTGGAGGAGATGGTGAGACAATACCAAATCCCTAGAACTATTTTGTTACGAGCTGACACCAAGAATGAAAAAGCGTGCACAATGTCTCGAACAAGATGGATTCTAGTGTACGTAGACCATTTTGATGCCGGACTGTGTTTTCCTTTGCCCGAGCTAATTTTTGATGTTCTATCAAAGTACAAACTGGCACTTGCGTAGCTAACCCCCAACATCATAAAGTTTATCATAAGATTTATGTTATTGTGTGAAAGGTTACAAATACCTGCGAAGGCGATAGTGTTTAGGTTGCTCTTTTTGTGCCGGCTAGGCGCCACTCGTTCAAGTACCACTTAAACGAGGTGGTACTACATATCTAGAAGAGAGAAGATGATGATTTTCACCAACATAAGGAAAAAGGTTGCCAGATGGAAAAGACAATTTATTTTTGTCAAAGATACCCAAATAGAAAGGATTAATAATGAGTTGGCTGCTCATATTTTTTAGTGGCACGCAGGTCACACATATATGAATTACCCCACGCTAACGCCTGATGATATGGCTTTAAAAGATAGAATAGTAGATTATGTCAAGGCGAAGAGATTGGTCGACCTGGAGGCCTTGGTTACTCTAGAGCAGCTCGCGGTGCTTAGGTTTGTGGATGTCGCAAACTTGTATACCAGAGGTATATTTCTATTGTAAGTTACACTTACTAGTGATCTGAGTCTTATTACATTTGTTTGTGCAGGAGAGATAAGCAGCGTGTTAGAGAGGCAATACAAACGAGCTCAATGCTTAAGAGGTCACCAAGGAGAGAGCACTTCATAGAGGCATACGCGTTTTGATGAGTGACCTACAGTGCCACCTCGCATCTCATCTCATTGAGGTTCAAGCTAGGCATCAAGGCCTCATGTCGAGCGGAGAGTTGAAGCAATGCCTTCGAGTTCTCACAGGCGCGCTCGTGAGGATTCTGATGCTGAAGATGACATACCACTCATTCGGCAAAGAATGAGCTTTGGGGCTCAGCCTGTTCAACCAGCCATGGTATGCTCGTCTAATGTGCCTCCAGCCCCGGCACGTGACGCTGTGGAAACTACGCCAACATTTGTATCTACATTCGGTCTAAGGATTGCATACTTGGAAGGCTTTAGTTACACCAGAACTAATTGTCACACCGCCATTATTTAGGGTATTCAAAGTTTTATTCCTCCAATGGACCGACAACGTGCAAAAGGCTACAAACAACAACACGGAGGTCATGCTGCAATGCTAAAATTGATGGACGTAAATACTTTCTTCAACATTTGTGTTAGTGTATTTTCTCAATTTTTTGTTAGAGACTAATAGTATGCGTTGTGTGGCAAGCGTTCAACTACGTGGTCACACTGTTTGAGTGCAAGTAGGGTGCTTGTGGGCAAACTTGCAAACTCACTGAAAACTACAAGCGACTGACTTCTGAGAAGGCAAGTTTAAAAGACGAGGTCAATCGCTTGTAGAGCTCTTAGATGGCCAACCAAGCTGCGTCAGCTAAGAGCCGAGCTAACGAATTGGCCAATCAGGTGAACAAGCTGAAGGAAGAGCTGGAGAAGGCTCGAGCTGAAAGGGATAGCGGGATTCAAGCCACAAAGGATGAGGCCAGTCATGTTGAAGACCGCGCCAAAAATACAAAAGCTGATAGGGACAAGGCTTTAAGCAAGCTAAACTCCCTTAGGCAATGGGTGGCCGTGGCAAACCAAAACCTTGCCCATGTTAAGGAAGGGTTGAGAAAAGCTAGAAGTTCTCACTAGCGCTTTATAAACATCGCTCGAGTTCAAGGAGCAAAGTGACTAGTCAGTGTTGATATGTTTCAGGACGTCGTGACAGTCGCTTCAGCCAATACCATGACAGAGATCTATAATGATATCCGTGGCAAGTTACTGCATCATCGGCCTAACTTTCCTTTAAACATTTAAACATAAAAATTTGAATTAACATAAAAAGATTTCAAAATGACTTAAAAATAATAATTAATTAATTAATTAAATATCATCTTCTTCCTTGTTTAAGGAAAAATGAAAGAGACTAAACATTTATTTACATAAAAATTAATAAAGAGAAAAAAAAAAGATTAGAGGAAAAGAAAAGGAAGGTAAAGTGAAAGAAAGAAAAAGATTAATATTAATTTTGTTTAAGTAGACAAAAATGAATAAGAGAGCAAAATAATATTTTTATTTAATTTTTTTTAAAATAATTTTGACATTATTTACATGTATATATGGAGGGG